TCCACTCCAAAGCATGAGCGTGGCTCTCCCAGCCACAGTAAGTCACCAGCATATACCCCCCAGAATCTGGACAGTGAAAGTGAGTCAGGCTCCTCTATAGCAGAGAAATCTTACCAGAACAGTCCCAGCTCAGATGATGGCATCCGACCACTTCCAGAATATAGCACAGAGAAGCATAAGAAGCACAAAAAGGACAAGAAGAAAGTAAAAGACAAAGATCGGGACCGGGAGCGGGACAAAGACCGAGACAAGAAAAAATCTCATAGCATCAAGCCAGAGAGTTGGTCTAAATCACCTATATCTTCAGACCAGTCTTTGTCTATGACAAGTAACACAATCTTATCTGCAGACAGGCCCTCAAGGCTCAGCCCTGATTTTATGATTGGGGAGGAAGATGATGATCTCATGGATGTGGCCCTGATTGGCAATTAAGAACCTTATTTTTAAAACAAACATAGCCAGAGGAAAAAAATAATACGTTTATAGGCAACCACCATACGGGATGAAGTCAGGTCTGATTTTTAAGAATCCTAAATGGCAAGGCTTAAAGCTGGGTGAATTTATAAAGGCATAGTCAGACCCTACTAAAGAGATCATATGGTTTGAGTGGTTATCAAGAATTTCTTGTTCTTTGCCAGAAAGAAAAACTTAAGATACTTGCTTAAGGAAGGGAGGGGGGTGGGAGGGGTACAGGGAGAGGGAAGGGTGCGAAAACAGTTTTGTGGGAAATATTCATATATATTTTTCTCCCTTTTTCCATTTTTAGGCCACGTTTTAAACTCATTTTAGTGCATGTATTTGAAGGGCTGGGCAGAAAATGAAAAAGCAATACATTCCTTGATGCATTTGCATGAAGGTTGTTCACCTTTGTTTTGGTAGTTGTCCATTTCAGGCATGGGCAAATGAAGGACTTTGGTCATTTTGACACTTAAAGTAATGTTTGGTGTCTTTACTAGGAGTGATTGGGGGAGGGAAGATGATTCTAGCTATTTATTTGTAATATTTTAACCCTTTATCTGTTTGTTTTTATACAGTATTTCTTTCTAAATCTATGAGGGTTAGGGTTCAAAATGATGGGAGGCAGAAGAGTAAGGCTTATTTGATGGTAGAGAGCTTGTAGCTCATGCTGATCCTGTAGCATCAAGCCCAGGCAGATTAGTCAGAGCCCGCCTTTGGAGTTAAATAGAGAAACCAAAATGACATTTTTATTTTAGAACATTTTTTTCATAGGGTTCAGACATCATAGGAATATTACGAGCTACCTTCCTGTGGAGGTATTGCTTTATAATCTTAAAAAAAAAAAAAAAAAAAAGCTGGGGTGGCTTTTAGGAAAGTAAACATGTTTTCAGATGAGTAAGGTTTAACGGATAGCCTTCCTGACTCAGTGGCATGAAAACCATTACAGAATTAATAGTTCTCCTATTTCCATATGTGCCAAAAGTCTGCATCCCAGCATTTTGATTGCAGGAGAACTGATGCCATTCCTACTAGCTGGGCTCTTGTCTCTCTTCATCATAAAGAAGGAGTCTAGACTTTAATCACTCCGCTGTATGTTCCCTGAGATAAAACAGTGAAAATTTTGCAGCCATAGTTCACTTAAAACAATTTCAAGCTCACTTGAAGTAATGGGGCCTGGAATGCTAGGTGAGCATGAAGATAAACCCTTGCTACTATGTAGCAACACAATTGGACCTTTTTGGATAAATAGGTCTGAGTCTGGATTCTGGGGGACATCAATAAGAAGCCCTTCTCCTAAATATAGAAATCCAGAAGACCATTTTAAGTGCAACCGAAGTTCTCAGTATTTGGAGGGTCCTCTCAAAATTCTGCGGCCTTACTTTGATTTTGACACCTGCACTGTGCCATTCCTGATGACTCCATTCAGGATCTGTATCAGCGGGACGGGGCATAGTCCCCAGCACAACTCTTCTGGATTAAAAAAAAAAAAAAAAAAAGCCAGGTGATTCATATGTGTTTATGTGTGTCATAAAGTGGAGTGACTTCATCAGATATGGAAGAAGATTTCTATTTTCAGCTCTTTCTGCAGGTTGGATTAGCATAGAGTTGGAAAATCAGCTTTGGCTTTCTTTCCTGACTGTCTCTCATTTCCTCTGGTATTCTCCCCTTTCTGGTCATCAGCTCTCAACAACTCTGCCACTTTTGTGTCCCAAGGTAATAAAGAAGTAGGAAACGAAACATTGCAAAGTGGAGCAAGAAAAGTTATCAGTTACCGTATCAGAGTCAAATGTCTTTGGGGGACACTGAGGTGATACCAGAGTGCTTTATCTTGTGATGCTGATACAGTAGCAACCTCTCAGACATGCAACCAGGTTGGATTTCTCACAAGTTTGTCACCTAGTTTTGAATCCTATCTCAATGGTTTCTGCAGGAAAAAAAAAAAGTTACATGGTTTTTAAGTTTGTTCTGGGTGGGGAAAATCTTATGGGGAATGTACTGTATAATATCAGGGGCTCAGCTCCCCCAAGCAGAGCCAACAAATACCAAAATGAGTAAACTGGGAAGCTTTTTCTCTCTTTCTGTCTTCATCCCAGATCAAAGAATCCCGAGTTAGGATCTGGATGAAGGATAAGCCCCTGAATTGTCGATGGGCACACCCCACACACTGACCCAGCATCTGAACTTGCTTAACAGGGAGCCGGGGCTAAACTGCTTCACCCTGCCTGGGAACCAGGGAGCACTGCATTTCTCCACAGGGTGGAGGAGAAGAGGCAGAATAAACCAAGCCTGGGACACCTCCCTCCTGTCTAGGTGTACTCACTCTCCTGTTTCAAAAGACGGCAAGGACATGAAGTCAACTTCTACCTATCTTCTGCTGCTGGTGTCTTATGTATTCTTAGTTTGACCTGATTCCTCTTTTGTCTTTTGTCTTTATATATTAGGGGTTCTTGGTCAAAACCTGCTCTGATGTACATGAAAATTTCAGGTTCAAATTCAATGTGTCTTAAAACAAGTATTGGGGGGGAGGGGGACGAAGCTGGATGTAATTGCCAAAACTGGCTTGAGGTTGAAGATTCTTGAAAAGATTTTCCTTCCTCAGGCCTAACTCTGAAAATCTAGTGCAGCAATATCATGAATTCTCAGAAGCCCTTTCAGGGAACCAGTGAATGAATCATACAGTATCCACAGTTGAGTCACTTAAAGCAGATGTCAGTATAGGAAACATTATTCATAATCACTGGGCAATCACATTGTATTTTTTTCCTTTCTGTCCCTGCCTCCCATTTATTTCTATCCTCGAATTAATTTTTTTTGTGCAAGGGCAGGACATAAATCTCAAAAATTGGATTGGGAGACATACTCAGCTATGTAAGAGCTGAGCTTTAAATTTTGAGTAAAAATGTACATCAGGAGCAGCTGGGGAGGGTCTTTTCTAAAAAAGAATCTTTCAAATTTGATTTTCTGTGCGTATGGCCGTTCTGTAAATACTTTGGGGTTTTTCATTTTTTTGAAAGTAGACAAAACCTGTGGGATTTTTTTCCCGAAACATTACAAAAGAATGTTTATTTACATGCAAATAAATTTCTTTGATAAAAAGCAATAAGCCTATGTGTAATGAGATTTTAACCTTCAAATCGTTTTTGTGTTCAGCTTTCCAAAAAATCCAGTTCAAAAGAAGAGCAAAAACTAAGTATCTTCTGGAGTGCTGCTTGAAATGGGTCCACTGGAATGGCTAACTGATAATTCTTTGTAACAGTTTTCTTAATTACATTATATTTTTGTGTGTGTACCCGATATTACCAGTCTGTTCTTAGGAAGAAGATGAAACTTTGATGAGACTAAACTAAAAGGCTGTTTTATACCACTGGCTGAAGCAAAGCAAAATACTGAAAGTATCTGGGGGAGGAGATTATAACACCTAGATCAGGGTTTGTGGGCCTGAGAATCGAGTTTTCTGAAGGTAGGTTCCTTCCTTAGGGAGTGCTCTCTAGAATAAAAAAAAAAAAAAGTCACTGAGTGCTTTAGGGGTTGGGAAATAAGCTTTCCAGCTGAAATAATGCTTTTCTTAAAAGATTTGCAGCGCACTTAACTGCTTTTAATACAGTTCATTTCTTAGATTCATAACAAGCCAGTTAATAAAACTAGTAATTAAAAGGGGTGTGAAGACTAACTTAACTGCTTTGGAAGCATACAATTAGAAACAGTACTGGGGCCATAATAGCTGGGGTTTACGATGCAGTTTCTCACATTTCATGTCTGGAACAGGATTCTGCACTTTTCTGCTCCTTGAAGGGGCAACTCTACTCTGGATTATTCCTTAACTCGTGGGGTTTCAGTCATCAACCCCGGGACCTTAAAGGCTCGAGTAGTTAAAACAGCAGGAGAACACAGATGAGCTCCTACACTGGGAGCCTAAGAGTCAGAAGAACGTCCTAGTTTCCACTGGGCGAACGCCCCCGCCTACTCGCTCACACACGCTCGTTTCTCCCGCCAAAGTGGCGTCAGCGTCAGGCTCTCACCAACCGGCGCCCTGATTGGAGGACGGGCGAGCACCACAGCCCATTGGGCGCCCGCGGCGGCAGAGGGGCGGGGGAAGCCAAAGGCCCTTCTGCCGCACCCGCCCCCAACCCACGACGCGCGCCCCTCCCCCAGCCGGAGGAATGGTCGCCCGGCTTCAGCACTGCACCCCCTGACCCCGAGGTGCGGCGTCGCCGTCATCCCCGGAGCGGAGCGCTCGGCCTGCCCCTCGGCGCAATTAGCCCCTGCCCTCCCGAGCCATGCACGAGCCAGACGTCCCGCAGCGGCCCCCCAGGCCCGCCTGCGGCACCCCGTAATGCAATCCACAGGGGCGGGGGAGGCGGCGGCGGCGGCGGCGACAGCGGCGGCGGCCACACTGCCCTAATCTAGAGACATCCAGAAAGAGGAGGAAAATGGCTCCGAGCAGGGACCGCCTGCTGCACTTTGGGTTCAAAGCGACAGTGAGTGACAGGGGAAGGGAGTTGGGTGGCCAGGAAGGATGTGTGTGTGTGCCGGGACAGGCGCCTGGGGAAGTAGTGACAAGACGGGGTCGGGGGTCCCCGGCAGAGCTGAGGTTCTGCGGCTGGGTGCGTGCGTGTCTGCCCGCGGAGGCGAAGGCAGGGGGCACAAGAGGGGCTTTCGCGCACTGTGCTGTCCTGCTTAGCTGTCGAGCACGCGCGCGCGAGCACCCGCCCCGCAGCCCCTCTGCGCGCGCGCGCGCGCACACACACACACACACACACACACACACACACACGACACATAGGCACTTCCCTGCCTCTCCTTCTCCCGGTGGGCTCGCCTGCCTCGCGGCGGGAGGGGGCCCGTGCCGCCGCGCTCCGGCTGCTCTCGGGCGCTCCGTCAGGGGCTGCGCCCGCGGTGGGGGAGGGGTGGTCTCGCGCCGCCGCCGCCGCCGCCGCCGCCGCCGCCGCCGCCGCGCGCTCCTCCCCCTCCCCCCGGCGTTCCGGGCCCGGGCGGCTCTGCCCAATGAGCAGCGGCGTTGCTGGCAGGTGGGGAGTGTTTTTGTTTTGGGTTGAAGTTGAGGTTGAGGAGAGAGCCGAGCTAGCGACGAGCAGTCGTCGGGGCCGCGGGCGCCGCGGGAGGTGGTAGAGGCCCCGCCGGAGCCGAGAGGTTTCTCCTCCCCGTCCGCCGGCCCGGGCCTGGCCCCTCGCCCGCCGCCTCCGCGGCCCGGAACTCCGGGGCCTGCCCTAGGCCCCCTGTCTGCACGCCGCAGCGCCCAGCCCGGGCCGCACCCGCCGGCCCCATGAGGAGGGACGTGAACGGAGTGACCAAGAGCAGGTTTGAGGTGTGAGCTTGGGGGGCTCGCGCGGCGTGAGGAAGGCCAGCCCCGCTCTTTTACCCCCAAAACATGGGCTCCCCGCGGAGCCTCCTCCCTGGCTTGGGCGCCGCCACCCACCCGCCCGTGGGGCTGCGGGACCTCGCTCCGGGCTCTGCGACCTGCGAGCCCGGCGCAGCCCGGCTGCCCTGACCCTCCCGGCTCCGGCCTCTCCCCAGCGGCCGGCCCCGGCGGGGGATTAGCTCTGGCGCCCTAATTCCCCCCTCCCCCAGAACCACTCCGCTTTTCCATTCTCTACACCACCCTTGGCTTGCCTCCTTCCACCCGGCTCGGCAGAGCTTGCTGCTTTTCTTCCTGTCTCCTTCTTCGCGAAGCGTTGGTTTCCTCTCGAGGGGCGAGATTAGGGGCCAGGGGCCGTTTCTCCGAGTTTGAGGCATCGATTAAACGGGGGGAGTGGAGCCGGTGGACGGGATGGCCGAGGCGGCCGCGGGCTCTCGGATCTGTTGGGTTTGGGTATTGTTCTGATACTTCCTCTTCTTTCCCGTCTAGTCTGTGCTGTCGTAGTTCATTGTTTCTACATGCTTGGAGATCGGGACCAAGGTCTGAGGTTTTAGGAAATCCGTTCCGGCCTGTTTGTCTCGCAGATACTTTTCCCCCTGCTAGCGAGGGAGGTTTATGGTCGTGGAATTGGGGAAGGGACCGTGTGAGAGCATCCTCAGAAGTCGCGAAAGGAAGCGATTCCTTTGGGAAGCGAAGTGTTGTTAACTACTGATGAATTACAGTAGCATAAATACACACTGCAAGATTGAGAGATAAGAGAGAGAGAGAGAAACTTACACAACAAGAGGCATAGATGTTACCTGGCCTTTTCTGGCAGGCAGACAGGCTGACCTGGGATCACTCAGAGCTCAGTGTACACCAACCGCACCGGCGTTTTTCTACTTCCATTTGAAAGATGAAATCGGAAGACGGTCATAAAAGAGTTGCAGGAGACTCGCCCAGCTGGGTGCAGGGATTAAAAAAGTTTGCCTGAGACTCTTCAGTTTAGTTCAGTTCTTGATTCATTGTTATGCCTACGGGGAAAATATGTGAATTTATCCCCGAAGATCAAGATGGAAAGTGTGTTGGGGGCAGTTTAAAATCAGACCTACAGTATTAAGTTGCAGGTAAGGAGTGGAGAAAATCAAGGAATTGGTCTTCTGAAAGGTTTCACATTTAGAAGAAAGTATTACGATGGATATTTAGTGTTTATTTTATTAGGACATTGGGTTCTAAAGTAGAGAGTCCCAGTAGGGTTAATTTCCGGTGGTTTCATATTCAGTACCCTTGTAGAAGTCCGATGACTGAAGAGGCGTTAGGCAGCTAACAGGAATCTGGAAAGGCAGGGGTAGTCTTGCTGCGCAATTAGCTCTTGATCATTTTGCTGTTCACTCTAGGTTGTTGAATCATTGTTGGAAAGAATTCTCCTGTAGTATGTGCTTTAAAATTGCATTGCATTTCCTATTTTTCTCGTTGTTTTATGTTTTAATTCAGTTTATAGGAGTAGAATATTAAAATAATAATTTTTATTGCTTAATTAAATGCATCCGTTTACCTTGATTGTTAAGTAGCTGGCAACTTGCAATTTCTAAATAGGATCTGAGAAGGTAGAAAAAGAATAAGGGGGAAAAAACTGGTATGAAGTTATGATTACATTGTTTGTAAGCTAGAAGCTATTTGTTTTGTATGATGTGTTTGATGCCAAATGAAAATGACTAGAAATGATAGGTTAATGGATTTCTTTATCTGAGTATTTCTTAAAACCATTTACTACTTTTTTTTTTTAGGTTTATTTTATTTATTTGAAAGAGTTAAAAAGAGAGGTAGAGACAGAGAGGTCCTCCATCCTCTGGTTCACTCCCCAGATGGCTGCAACGGCCGGAGCTGCGCCCATCTGAAGCCCAGAGCCAGTAGCTTCCTCCAGGTCTCCTACATAGGGGCAGGGACCCAAGAACTTGGGTCATCTTCTGCTATTCCAGGCCATAGCAGAGAGCTGGATTGGAAGAGGAGCAGCCGGGACTAGAACTGGCACCCATATGGGATGCTGGCGTTCCAGGCCAGGGCTTTAACCCACTGTGCCACAGCTTTAACCCACTGTGCCACAGCACTGGCCCAAACCATTTACTCGTTTTTTTTTCTTTTTTTTTACAGGCAGAGTGGACAGTGAGAGAGAGAGACAGAGAGAAAGGTCTTCCTTTTGCCATTGGTTCACCCTCCAATGGCCGCCGCGGCCGGGCGCATCACACTGATCTGAAGTCAGGAGCCAGGTGCTTTTCCTGGGGTGCAGGGCCCAGGGACTTGGGCCATCCTCCACTGCCTTCCCTGGCCACAGCAGAGAGCTGACCTGGAAGAGGGGCAACCGGGACAGAATCCAGCACCCCGACCGGGACTAGAACCGTGTGCTGGCACCACAAGTTGGAGGATTAGCCTATTGAGCCACGGCGCTGGCAAACAAGCAGCTGTATGTTTTCTCTGTTTCACAGAGAACCATAGCAGGAGGATTGAAAACAAGGACTGGAAATAATTTAGAAAAAAGAAGTGTTTGTGAAGGATACATTCTCCCCTGTTTCCTAATGTATATGCTTTTATGAACAGCTCTTTGCAATATAAAATGATTTAAAATTGACTTCATTTTTAATTACACAAACACAAGTATCCCAACATATGTGTTTGGAAAAGAAGTAAATTGGTATTTGAAGTTGACTTATTACATTTTTTAGGATTTCAATCTCTGGTACAATGAATATAACTTGTTATTTTCTGGATTCCTGCTTTTAGTTTCTTTATATTTAATTGTAAATGTGAATTTAATTTTCCAAAATTTTATAGCTCTATTTCGTGTCTTACATACATAAAGTTTCATGTTCCTATTAAATAAGTATATATATTATACTTCATTTCTAAGATAAGAAGTCTGATTTTATACCTAACTTCGCCCTTTTAAGCTTTATTTTGCATTTTGTTTTGGTCAAAATAGTGTAGTACCAATATGCATCCCAATAGTTTCCTCTTCCGT